AAAACAGACTACAAAACTGGACAGATAGTACTATGGACAAATATAATAATAATAAAAATTAAAAAATAATATACAAAACATAAATTATTAAAACAACTAAAGCTGTTCCACTAATAAAAATTGTAAAGTGAGTCCCCCAGATAAATTATAGATGGAATATAATGTAATTATTGGTACACTTGAGTCAATAGCCTATATTAATAATCATACATGGTGACATTTCTACAAATTGTTGTTTAGTAAGCATGCACTCACTTCTTGATATGGAGCTGCTTAAGATATACTGTGGTAACTGAAAAGCTTAGGCACATTACCTATAATGGTAATAGTGTAAAATCACATTACCTCCAGCACAATGATACTAGTCTGTCTCAGTGAATTAGTGTTGGTAAATCACACTGAGTATTGGATATAGAATTGCAAATAGACACTTTCAGTAATTGGTATAATTGTATCAATGGCAAAAATTGCTATATGTAAATGTTGCTGTTTGATACATTGTATACATTACACAGGCACTGTAGATAGATCTCCTGCTGGTTGATAAGGAGAAAGGTCTAGTACAAAATGATATCAGATACTTAATGAGGTGGGAGAAATGGGAGGTAAGAAAGGTGGAGCAGGGACAAGAGGAAAAGGGGGAATACAGGGAAATACAAGACAGAAAATAACTTCCCCTATTGTGCCTTCGTGGGCACCCCTTACCCCTAAAAAAAAAAACCCTATACTGTTGAGCAATGCTCGCCGCCCCAACCACCCCTCTAGTTGAATAGCTAGCCAAATCCTTAATAACCTAATTACCAATAACACAAGTAAAAGTGCTGTGCTACAATAGTGGATAATATTAAATCTCCTGTCTTGCCATACAATTTCAATATTAAGGCCAAAGTTGCTAAATTGTTAGCATATTTTTCCAGGTCAGATATTTTGGTCTGAAATTTCAGGCTAAGGCACCGTGGTCAATCCATGAGAACCAACAGGCTTATTCCCTAAAGTAAGAATTCAAAGTAAATTTCAACTAGGAACCCTAAGTAGCTGAAATGGAAAAATTAGTAATTTAGAGAATGTTTCCAGTTTAAATATTTTCACCTGGAATTTGAAATGCTTTTTCACAGTCTGGTGTGATGACATATAATCGAGCTTTGATAATACTGGAGTGGAGGCTCTGAAATGAAAACAGGACGTTTTCGTGTCTCATTTTGGAATATCTGTGCTTTCTGTTCAGTGTGTCTAACATATTATACCAGAAATCATTACAAGTGGTTTGCACTAGAAGAAAGTAAAATAAAATGATAAGTTTTTATACAGCAAAAACTAAAAACACCTCAAAATAGTTATTAACTGTAAACAATTAGGTTTTTTATAAATAAATATTTGGGTGTAAAGTTCCACCAGTGGAACCAGTGGAATGTCCCTGCTGATTGTTCAATGTTTGGACCAGATGTGATCCTTAGACTCAGACTGAGAGGTTTTTCAGGCGTACAAACCGTGTTCTGATCAGACAGCGCTCTGAATATTCTGCACCCACTGTTAAGCCGAAAAAGATTGTTTACTAGTGTTTATAAAACTGCGGGGTAAGATATATTTTGATCTCTTAAATGTGAATTTCCTGCATAGAAAGTGTTTCCTAAATCAGTCTTTAGCTGACCAGTCCATTTTCCAGCTCACATGTTTTAATGTGTCTGCATATTTCCTGTCTGGATAAACATTTGGCAAATCGAAATGCCTTTGAATGTTTTAGTTGAGCAAGTTAAATGCAAACTTTTTTTTTTCTGAGATATGTTTTAGACAGCTGAGATTTTCTTGCTTGTTAATTCACCATAAAATTGGCAACACTTCTTCCCATTACATAAGAAGGAAGGTGTTGGGCAACAAGGGAGGTGAAGGAGGAATCAGCACTCATTAGGAATGATTTTTCCTTGGGCTTCACAGCGTTTAACCTCAGCCCAGTGGGACCAACGGAAGAGCCCTGCTGCCCAAAAGCTGTAGTAATTCATTCTGCTGTCATTTCATTTTTTACTCTCTGCTATGACTTCCTATTTAACCTTTTCAGATGCATTTCCCTACAGTTGACAGAAAGGACCAGGAAAAAAACATGTAGCCCATATGTATCCTATCAAACTTCCCAGACTCGTTTCACACACTAGATATGTGCATTCATTTTCGTACAAATATGATTTCGTCCGAAAATTGTTTTTTTTCGTATTAGTTTACTAAAACTACTAAAACGTAAACGAAAGCCTTACATACGAAATGTAAACAACACTAAAGGGCAAATGCCGAATGCATTACCTTTTTATTTCGTTTGTTTAATAGACTCCGTGCTGCAGGGGAATTAACCTCCCATGCTCTACATTCATCATACAGAATATCAAGGATATAGGCTACTAAGCACAATAGCTCACCTGGTGATAGACAGTCATTGGGGTGCCAGTCTTTTTTTCTAAGTATGCCAAAGGAGAAAAAAAAATAGCTTGGAATTTGAGGCTGCATAATTACGCTGGAAATGAAACTGTTGCGATTAGGTAGGCAGTGGGCTACCAGATGCCATGATGTGGCTGTATTATTAATATGGTATAGCAGAGGTAGGCAACCCTTGGCACCACAGATGTTGTGGATCTCATCTCCCATAATGCTCATACAGCCATAATGCTGGCAAACATGAAGGGACATGTAGTCCACAACATCTAAAGTGTCGAAGGTTGCCTATAAAGTATCTTGAGTTGTTAACATTTTGAGAGTTATTGAACTGACACACTACACAGAAAAACTATGCAATGCTGGATACAATTAAATATATGAATTCATCTCTGTGTGTTTGTATTACCTATGATTAGGTCTATTCTGTCAAGTGGAAGTTAATTACGGAAGTCAATGAAAGATGACAAAATCTTAGCCAGATCATACTGTGCAGAAACACAAAATACAAAACTTTCAAATACCCAAAACACTCATTAAAAGAATGAATCTACATATCATGAAGTTGTTCTTTGGCTCAATATTTCCACTGTGACAGAGTTGGAAATTATAAACAATTTTTTAGTACTTTTTTCCCTTTGTAACATAAATGTAATATATTATATATATTATACACAATGAGAACACAGCACATACCACGTTTTGAAGAAGTGGAGACCTATTCACCTCCTCAGTGCTGCCATTTTACTAATCTACTGCAGTTGCTTCTGGCCAGAACAGTCACTTATGAATTGATGTACATTTGAGAGTTTACAAAGCTGGGGTCTTTTAAAGCTCTCAAATAATCATCCTCCACAGACCTTCTTCTGAAAGCACAAGGATATGCCGTAGGAGTAGGACATTGCATGACAAGATGTTAATTTCCAGTCAGTGATTTTGTTATTTTCAATTTGTATAGGTTTTCACAAAACGCATTCAGATGAAAAAATAATCCATATTGTTAATATCTTGTTTATATATATTTATTAAACTGTAAATTTAATGATATTCCAACACAGTATATTAGCATTATTTTTATTATACAGCAGCACTACCACTTAGAAGGTCATCACATTTTTTACAAAGATTCTCCCACAAGGTGGCACGCCTGTATGCTTGTTGGTGGTCTGGCACTGTCCCAACATGTTCTTCACATGCTCATCTTCAGCTCCTGCCAGCTTCATCTGCCAGGAGCCCATTGTACTGCTCTAGTCTTGAACACACAGTGCTATAGTGTCCTCCCTCTCTCCCCTGTCCCATAGTGTTTTTTCTCCCCCCCTCCCCTGTCCCATAGTGTTCTTTCTCCCCCCCTCCCCTGTCCCATAGTGTTCCCTGTTTCTCTTCCCTGTCCCATAGTGTTCTTTCTCTTCCCTGTCCCCCCTCCCCTGTCCCATAGTGTTCTTTCTCTCATCCCTCCCCTGTCCCATAGTGTTTTTTCTCTCCCCCTCCACTGTCCCATAGTTTTCTCCCTCTGTCCCATAGTGTTTTTTCTCCCCTGTCCCATAGTGTTCCTTCCCCGACCCCCCCATCCCTTAGTGTCCCTCTCTCTCCCCCCCTCACCTTGGTCCCCGGTGTGTCTCCTACCTTTCTGGTAGCAGTGCGCACCGTGGTACAGGAGCTTCAGTTTCCTGTACCCAGACGGACTGACAGGAAGTGAGCACTTCCTTTCAGTCTGGCCTGGTACAGGAAATAGAAGTTCCTGTACCATGATGCACACTGTTCCGCTCTGACTGGCAGGAGGGAGCGCTGTTCCAGTCTGTCTAGTGCCTCCCGGGCCAGTGCGCCCTAATGCCGCCTTATGGACGCGACAACCCTGCCGCCAACCAGCTAGAATGCTGTCTCTCATTTTGACCAGTTGTCAATTTTCTGTATTTTTACATATTTAGAGCAATATTGTGCTTAATCATTATAGCCATGTTGCAAGGCCCCACTGGTACTTCCATCCTCTGAACTAGCATGTTAGTTTATGTCAATGCCTATCATTTATTCTCAATGTCAGGAACTTAGTATTAGATTGCATATCTTGTATTTTTTCCTTTTTTACACCTAGACATGTTTGACTAGCATGATCCTACATCTTCTTATTTTAAAATATATGCGGATTGAGGGGACGGAGCCTGGACTGCAGGCAGGCAAGACGTGCATCACACAAGCTCCTGCTGGCAATGCCAAATACTCGGTGATATCCTGGGCTGGCAACCTGGTGACCTCGACCGAAGGTGCTTTCCAGGCTGGGGGCACCAAACCCTACCAGTGGATACCTGAATCGACGCACTGAGGCAACGGGAACCGCAACGGTAGGTTGAGGCCTACTGGACTCAGACCGGGGGAGAGACGGCCGCTCTCCTCCAGCTGAACAAAGCTAAGTCAAGCAAGACTCCACACCCCCCCCTCTGGACCGGCGGGGTATATGCCGGTCCACTCCTGGAGAGCAGGTAGCTACACCTGTAGCCCGCTAAGCAGATCGCACAAACACTCATATCCCTACAATGGCGGATGAAGCCCGCACAATAACACGTGGCACAGCTACAACAGAGGGGACACCCAGCAATGCCTATACCTACTCAATGAGGCGGCTGGATCAAATTTTCCAGGCCTTTTGGCTTAAACTACAAGCCCGTCTGCAAGCCACTGCTACTCACAGCTCAGTGCCGCGGAAGGGAAGCAGGAAAACGAGACACTCCAGCGTGGTAAAGCATCCTCAGAGCACCAAACTTAAAACAACATTCCCAAGACCTCACAACCGCTCACCCAGGCAGAGAGCCACATGAGGCAAGTCCTCCAAGCATCGCCCACGCGGGCGGAGAGCCGTGCACCGACTGACACGACTCACTACTACTGCCGCCACTGCCACAGAAATGGGGAAAGACTTGGTCCCTCGCAGAATCCAAGTCTGTGGTTCAAAGATGCCGGCCTCCCTGCAAACCTGGGGCCGAGGAGACAACGCGCGTCACAGTGCTACCAATTCCAGTGACCCAGCTACCTTGCCACCTGACGGAATCAGCTAAGCTAGCTTATGGGACTGACACCGGGCTGGACTTTCCCCCTAATGATCTGAGCGGCTGCTCTTGCCTTTAAACACCATGCACCGAATCATGAGTTTTATGTACTTTTATAATTTGACTTTAATTTCTGCTGTCTCTCCTTATGCTGTCTCATGAAACTGAAATGCAATTTGCTACTAACACTAAGAGCAGGGGTACACTAACTCGATAGCATGCCTACTTACAATCACACTTGGATATACCAATATGCATAGCTAGATGTCTTGCTGATATATTGTACTAGACCCTCCATGCATAAGAGTAAATGCCTTGACCTCCTCATACAGGTCATGATTAAATATTGTCCTGCGCTTATACAAAAGCCTGTACACCCACTAATCACCTTGCCACTAAACAAGCATGCAATGGAAGATTAATTACACTACTATATTCTCATGCCTGTATAAGCTGGCGTGGCTCTACAGGCCTATCTGTTATGTTTTCGTATGCACATCAAAAATAAAGAATTTAAAATATATATATAAAAATGTGGATTACTGTGACATTTTATGCTATAGCTATAAGCCTGTAATTGTATTTGTCTTGTCTTACGCATTACTGTCATTACGACTCTGTGTTTGTTATCAATGCACACCAAAAATAAAGAATGACAAAAGATTTTTATTTTATTTCATGACAGAAACAATGTAAAATTGTGTACTGCTTCTACCACTAAATAAAAGAGCTCAACATATTAAAATAAATTTTAAAAAAACTGATAAAAAAGTATTAAGCCACAAAACAAATAAAATTACTTTATGTGACTTTATAAATCAGCCAAAATTTAGGGATCGTTCCCATTTTTTGTCCATAAAATGGTAACCATGGTATAAAAGGCACTTAAGTTAAATGGAATGATTATCAGTTTTTATTTTTCCTAATGATGTGATATATCTTAGCACATATAGCTTACTAATGTTCCTATTATCTAGGGGAATTTTACAGACATAGCAGAGCCATGCTGTAGACTTGCTCACATAACTAGACAATCACAATCACATTTCCTCTATTGTATTAGCATAAAACTGAATATTGGGTCGTAGATGTGTAGTTGGCCCTTGACTTGTGTGGCCATGTTAATTCTTTATGCCCTCTTGCATTGCATTTTGCTTTGTCAGATAATTTGAAATACCAGCATTCATGATGAATTTGTCCGTCAGATGTGGAGAGATTTTTAATGACGTGTTAGTGAATGACCTCACTGTCCAAGTTGGTACCATCAATGCATTGTACAGAAATGATAATGTTCTCAGTGTGTGGCTGACATTCTGTAGACGATTGCGCAATTCCTGTTCATTTAACTTTCTCATTTTAGATAAATGATACCTGCTATTTTTTTCTTAGTGTTTCTGCAACCCATGTTGTACTTTTTTAAACATATGAATTAGGACGTAAAAATGGAGTCTAAAACACCAATTCAACGACAGGACCCGGTGGGATTAAAAGTTGGACCACACTGGAAGGACGTGAGGCTACAGAAGGAAAACCAAAACCCTATAAGTAGATGGCAAGGGGAGCGGGGAGACAGATATCTTCGACTATACTAAGCCCATTAACCTATTAATCATGGAATGTTAGCAACGCTTATACATGTGAGACTCAAATTTGCCAAGAATAGCGATTGATGTATTACACCTCATTCGAAACAGATCTTAATGCCTTAAATACAACAGGGGCCTGCGAGCCCGCAAAACAGTCTGTTTTTTTCTGTACTGATTTTCATGACTTCTGTCTACGAAGGAAAAATAAAGATTTAAAAAAATAAATAAAAATGGAGTCTACTCCTATTGATCAATATATGTATAACATGTGGAAATAAGTTAATAACTTATGTGTCACGCAACTTCGAAGCTTTGAGCACCCACATCTATTATATTGCATTAATATTTATCCTGAGCCTATTTGAAGTTGGTTGAGTTACATTAATATGTATGACGAGAAGAGTGAGCAATATGTTACATTTGCCTTGCTAGTGCTCCACATCTCATTAGCTTTGTGAAACCTAGCCCTTGTGAACCTTCCACTTGTTTCCGCCAAAATCCTCAAACTAGGTTTTTTTTTCTTACTGGTCCCAGAAAACCAGAAGAAAACATATAATTTCACAAGAGAAGTCTAAGTTACTGACAGAGCAATAAATCAGCACATATTTTATTCTGATCTTGACATGTTCTCCACCTACATAATCAGCTGGGAAACCAGTAATAGGAATACTGTAACTGTTGCTACAACAGAACGTCTAAGGAAGTATTAAGTTGCTCTGTTCTGTTACTGATGTTTATTATAAGTGGCTAATGTTATGGAAACCAAACCATAAGTATTTTCATTTTTTTTTTAAATGAATTTTTTTTTATACTAATAGTAATTACACCAAAGAAACATAATGAAAATGTATAATTAAATGATGTATCAGTAGAGCAGGTTACCTACATACCTTTCCAGAATTGCTCAGCAGGATGATAATCAAATTATCCCTGTTGTAAACTAATTAATTCAAGAGTCTTTCTCAAGAAATTAGTGTTTGTATCTTATTAAAATGCTGCTTTAAATACTGCTTGAAACAGAGAATTTGATTGAATAGATGAGAAATATTCACCTCAAATTTACTCCCAGTGCTCTCAGCCAATAATTACTGTCCAGGTTCAATAGAAATTACCGTATTTTTCTGTGTATAAGACGCCCTCATGTATAAGATGACATCTATTTTATGAGTCAAAAATTAAGAAATCAATATTTTAAACATCAAATAGAACAACTTTGATATTTTAGACGTGACTTCTGAGGAGAACAAAACACTTCTGATTCTCATGCCTACCCCATGCTACGGTACTCTGTGAAGTTAATGATTGTATAGTGCATGCTGGGAGACTATAGCTCCCACAATACAGCAGGTGGTGTGAGGACATCCTTGGACATCAGAGTAGTATTTGCTCTGCTCCCTGATCCCCATTTCCTCCCCCATAAATATAAATCAGTTTTGGTACATAGCATGCCCCTTTAATAGCAATTGCCATCAGCAAATGTTAGCCCTTGGGATCTTGCTGCTACTGGATAAAGCTCATGATTAGTTTGTCTAAGAAGCATAGTCAGACTTGACTTGACTATAAATATTACTGAGGTTAGGTGCAGCAATCAGATAGGGTAGTTTGAAGAACAATACCATACTAAATAGGTGATTTTTGGGAGGTGAAGTTTAGCATAGGCCTAGGCCTAGGAATGTTCTTCTGTTCATATAGTTAATACCCGAACTTGACAAAATTTGACCGTTAACTTGCCTTATTATTATTACTGGCATTTATAAAACGCCAACATATTCCGTAATGCTGTATAGTTGGGGGGGAAAACAAACAAAAAAAATACACAGTACAAAACAGGCAGACCAATGCAAAATGTAAAGAGGGCCATCTAGCCATTGAAGCTCTTTTATACAATGTGCCTAGTTGGCTGTTGCCTGTGAACTGCTTAATCTAACCAAAAACTAGTGTTTTCTTAATGTAACCCTTTCTGTAGTGGTCCAACGCAAAACAAACCAAAAAATATTAAAAAGCTTAAACTAAACTTTTTTTCTAGTGCAGAAACCAATTTTGCACAGAATCGACATTAGCCAAACCATTAGCCAAACCTGGCACGAAAGTGGTTAATCTCTGTATGTGCAGCGTTTCATGGCGAAATACTGCACATACAAACTCCAGCCACCATGAACACTTCAAATCACTGAAATGGTCATGGTGCTTGGAGTTACCTTTTAAGCAAACCAAAGTCTTTCACTAACCTGAACTTGACAGAATTAGAGTAAAGAGTTCATGACAAGCGCATAGTCATCCCCTAGGCATATTCCTAATGAACCCCCATAACAAACCACCCACCAATTAAACAGGGACACCAATAATTTCTTGGGGAAAATATCACACCTTTTATTAATAATTTTTATAAATAAATTGAAATAAGGGGTTATAATCAAACACACTTAAAGACATTGAAGCCCAGCAAATTTCAATATAAAACATTTACAGACAATAACCTCAGCATAAATAATAGCAATATATTATTACAATATCCAACATAAAAAACACAAACAGTTACCACAGCCACCAAGGGCATCATTTTCCACTTGCAGAGGTATACCAAGATACCCTACACACTCAGGTTCAGAGCTACCGCCAAGCTCGAACCTACCAAACCAAAGCAAACATAACTATTGATCCTGAACTTCCCCACTTACCAAGCCAACCTACCCCCCATTTTGCTATCCATCCCCTGCCACAGCACAGAACTTGACCACCTCTAACTACCTGAGCGCCCCCCATCTGCCTAAACAGAGTCTGCCTCAAACCTTCCTGACAACCCAAATTCAAGAAATCTATGCCCACATCGGAAAGATCACTCCGGAAATAGCCAGGAAGCATAGTTTCTAATTCCCAATGGCTAACTACCACACTCCCTAATCGTTTAATATAGACCGCCAGCAACTGATTGATCTTAATACAACATTTAGCTATCGCTGCAGGGACTCTAGCAAAACGCCAAAGTAGACACGGCACCATTTCAGACCAAATAACAATTATACCCGGGACCAAATCCCTCTCTCTATCCACGTCCTTCTTCATGCTCCATACAAATTCACTTTAGGGCACAAATCCCAAGTCATTACCCCCGGCATGGATCAAAATGAAATTCGGAACTAAACCTTGCCCTATCTTCCTAAACAATTTAGAGCAGATATCACCCCAACAAAACCCACAAAAACCAAACCAATGCAATATAACAAAATCCTGCAGAAAGCCCAGCTGCATGCCTTGAGGTCAAATTGCGTCTCTCCGTTCCGCCCAGCAGAAGAAGGAATGGCCTACTATCCAGGCAACCCATCCTAAAATAGAAAAGAAACAACCAACACACAATAACAACCCTCCATCTCCCCAACTTATACTAACTGATTAGGTCGAACGTAAGACCGAAACCTCACCGATTGCCACCAACCAATATTTTTAACTAGCTCATCAGTTAAATCCAGCCGAGCCGCTTCCGCCACTGCCCCAATACAAAATGAATGCGTACCGAACTGCGACGCATCCAAACCCAACTGCCCCAAACTTAGTTGTAAAACTCTGGAAAACGGACCCATCTTCATGTATAAAAAAGGAACCACCAGCCTGCGAACAAACTGCAAAACACTGGGAAGTGCAACCCACCGGACACACACATGACCTGGGCAAACAATACAATTTGACCAAACAACCCTTACTGAAAACATCAGTTTTTGAGCGACGAAGATTAATACTAACCTTATCCCCCCCAGACCGCCACATCAAAAACCATACTGTCCCCCATCCGACACAGACTACTACTCACAATTCATTGATACAAAATGCTCCAAAAAATGCCCAAACGAATGCCACCGAAAACAACAAAATTTCATAATGAGAAAAACATTGTCCTTGCAATGCCCCAACCAGGCAGAGGAACAAATCAAATGAGACCGGTCTCCTGGTATCAGGAGCTTTCTTCTCCCTATGAAAACCTTTAAAAGCCAGAAAGTGCTTGGTCAGTTCCAAGTCAGGCGACGTGACTGCCTTGTCCCGAAAGAAAACCCACCCATTAAAATCGCGCAAGAAACTCTCCCAAATTCCCAAGTACTCCTTCATGGGTCCCGACACCCTTACAAAATGATGCAGTGACCTTGTAGTACAGGTGGCATTGGTTCTTGCTTTTGAACACCCTCCCCACCGGGATCACCCAACACACAAAATTCAAGTACCCAATTAACGACTACAGCGTACGTAAGGTCACTTTCTTAGACTCCCGAACCTCAGCAATGACATTTCACGAAGAGCAACCAACTTGTCCTGCAGTAAACAACATTTGCCTGCCACGGTGTTGATCTTGAACCCCCAAAAAAGTTGAAGGCCCTACAGTTTTGTCACCCGCCAATGGTAGCCTGAAGACATTAGCCACCCATTCCAGCATTCTTTAACCAATCCTGCAGGCATCGGAACCAGAGGGACCTACACATAAGAAGTCGTCCAAATAATCGACCACAAACTTGATGCTCGTCTCCATCGTAACTGCCGATTCTAGGAAGGTGCTAAATGTTTCAAAGTATGCAAATGAGATGGAGCATCCCATGGGCAGACAGAGATCAATGACATATTTGCTCTCAAAGAAACAGCCTAATAAAAGATGACTCGCGGGATGAATGGGCAACAGCCGAAATGCCGATTCCACATCAGCTTTAGCCAACAGCGCCCCAGGACCAGCCCTCCTAACAAACTCGACCGCTTGGTCGAATGATCTACAGGAAACCGAACAGAGCGCCCCATCATTGTCATCATTCACAAATAACCCTTTAGGGTAGGAAAGGTGGTGAATAGGGCAGAACTTCCCTGCTTCCTTCTTGGGTACAACACCCAATGGCAAAATCCGCAAATCCTGGATCGGCAGTTCCCCAAAAGGCCCTGCCATCTGTCCCAATTGGACTTCCCTGAGCAACTTGTCGCACACGACTTCGGGAAATTCAGACAGATTATGCAAACAACGAATAACCAACCGATTTTGAAAAGGAATCACGAACCCTCAAGTGAAACCGTCCCGAAGGAGTACTGTATCCTCACGGTTACCATATTTGTTTAGCCATGGGAGCATCTCACTGACCCTCACAAACGAGAACCCCAGTGGCAGAGTATTGTGCCGA